AATTACATCAAAATGAAAAACAATGTTACAATCTAAATTTGGAGTTCACAATAGACAATTCTTCTCATTGCTTTTCTTATCATTTGGAATTTTGAGTTTTAGTAGAAAAGTGTCCATGGTAAACAAGTTATTTGGGAATAATTATATTTATGTTTTTATTATTTTATTTTTAAGTTTTAAAATATGAATTTTCAAATGAATATATATATTAGCAGGTTGAGTTGGTTAATTAACGGGTTGATTGCTTAAACCGCAAGCAAGCCGACCCAATTCGGATTGGTTGGTTCATTTGATCGGTTTTTCGAATTTTTCCCACTCCTAAGTCCAGTTGATTATTTATTCTAACTTAATAAATCGACTCATAGTCAAGTCTTCATTTGTTTAGTAGAGATTCTTTAAAATTCATTCTCTTTATATATACATTCTTTAGATAAAATAATTTTACACGTTTATTCATAATTTTTTCATACTTTTAATCAAACATTCCCCAAATAAATCATTTTTCACAAATCTATTATGAGAAAATCTACATTCTGAGTGTAGTTTGTTTTGGTTACGAGGACAAATACCAATTATGTTAGCCTGTTAACAAGGTGGGCCCTTGGCTTTTTTTTTCTTTCTTTTTTTTGTTTTAGCATGCGTCACTGTTTAATAACCATTTCACTATTTAGTTAACATATATATATATATAGGACTAGACATATTCATACAAATTAAATAGTAAATTTCTAGTTTCTCTGGTAAATTCAATTTACTAGGATTGCATCCATTTATTGTGATCAATCATTGTTTCGATCGATATATATTGACGATTTTTTTTTATTTCTCACTATTCATAATATGTTGTCGACAACCTTTTCTTTTTTGATTCTATTTCTTTCATAATAACGATATAATTTATTGAGATATCTCAATTTTAAACGTATCATGTACCTGAATCTTTTTTGGGGTTTTGTAAATTGTTTTGTCTAAATACTAATCAAGAGTATATGTGACTTTAATGGATCCATCTTTGCTAATTGCTCCATTTTCGTTTGGAAAATTTTTGTATTAGAATCAAATATCATCATATTTCAACGTGCCATGCATAAATTTAACAAATGTAATATTAACTAATTGTTCTCTAGAGTGGTATTTTGAGTTGGAGCATTTAAAGTTAGTGTGTGAGATATTGTTGATCTCTTTGGTTAGTAAATGCATCTAAATGAATTATCTTTTGAACTTCTAGTTCGAATTATCTTTTGCAAGGATTTAGATAATGTTGCATTTGTACATTATTTTTAGCTTCGGAATTATTCCTTGATTTCTTCATCTAATTATTTGGTAGTACAATATATACAATTAATCCACCATAAGTTAATTATAATAGGGAGAACTAAAGTGCTTGACATTATCAAAAAATTTCACCTCTAATGGAACATGGACTTTTTGGAGGCTCATGAAGACGATGTCAAAGGCACTTTTTGGTGTGTGACTGCATTCACATGTGGTTGGTGATTGACAACAATATAAACAATAATAGTGTTGACATATAACATATTTAATTGATTAATTTATCGATTTAGATAGAACAAAGAGCATATGATCATTCTAAAGGAATAATAATGTTTTAGCTTCTGAAGTTGCTTTCTCATTATTCAGATTCAAATATTGAATAAGATTTACTATTCAAAATAAGAAGATAGGTAGTATTGAATAATACTAAGTAAAATGTTTTTATTACTGATTCAATACTCAACGGTTGGGTTGATGTACT